ATACTGTGTGTATTGCTGGTCACTCCATACCAAAGAGGATATGAGAAGAATGAGAACCTGGCAATTGATCTTGTTGCAAGAAGGATGACAAGAATGATTAGGGAGCAAAGTGGCTTAGACGATATCTTTTACTGGACCAACATCTGTTGGTGAGAAAGTCAAGATGTTGAGAAGTAGTCCCAGTAAAAGATATTACCTCACCTATCTTGTTTCTCTAATAATCCTGGGATTGATACAGCTGCAACACCACTGCATACAACAATGATTAGAAATATGGAAAAACTCACGTGCGAAGACAGATTGAAAAGACTGGGATTATTTACCTTAGAAAGGAGATGAATAAGAGTGGAGAGAATAAAAGTATATAGAATAATGAATGGGCGCAAAAAGGCAGAGCAGGCACTTCTGCTCTCCCGATCTCATAGTACAGGAACAAAGAGACAGGCATTAAAAGGCTACATATTTAAAATAAATAAAAGGAAATACTATTGCACACAACATGCAACTAGACTATGGAATTCAATGCCACAGGAAGTTGCTGAGTTGCCAGAAAATCAGCAAGATTCAAAATAAGGATGTTAAGGAACAGGTGTTTGCTAATTGTGGAGTCAATACAATTGGATACACGATTAGTCGATAAGGGGAGGCATTCTCTGTGACCACTGCACCTCTACATTTTAAAGGTAATAAGAGCTTGGCGGCTCTTACTACATTTAAAATGCAGAGGCACAGTGGTCCTGCACCCATATGAGCGGGAACTGCTCAGTCCCAGTTCGTGCCGGGCCTGGCAGCCCCTCTTTGTGGTGCCTGGAGCTGGGCACAAACAGGGACTGATGCTGATGCAGCCCCTCCCCACAGCCAGCCTGGCTGCTGTGAACAGGCATTGCTCTGTAGCAGCAGTTCCTGTTTGCAGAGAGGCCAGAGCAGCCTCCTTTGCCTCCCATCCCGAGAGGCAGCACTGGGCTCTGCCCTCCACTTCCTGCCTCTCATACCGAGGCAATGGGGAGGGAGAGTGAGTAGTCGAGTACTCCACTTGAACCGCCATTGTGACATGGCTGTGAAAAGGCTAATACGGTCTTGGGATGTATTAGGCGAGGTATTTCCAGTAGGGATAAGGAGGTGTTAAGTGCCATTATACAAGGCATTGGTGAGACCCCATTTGGAATACAGTGTGCAGTTCTGGTCTCCCATGTTTAAGAAGGATGAATTCAAACTGGAACAGGTACAAAGAAGGGCCACTAGGTTGATCCGAGGAATGGAAAACCTGTCTTATGAAAGGAGACTCAAGGAGCTTGGCTTGTTTACCTTAACCAAAAGAAGGCTGAGGGGTGACATGATTGCTCTCTTTAAATATATTAGAGGGATCAATACTAGGGAGGGAGAGGAATTATTTAAGCTTAATACCAATGTGGACGCAAGAACAAATGGATATAAACTGGCTAGTGGGAAGTTTAGACTTGAGATTAGACGAAGGTTTCTAACCATTAGAGGAGTGAGGTTCTGGAACGGCCTTCCAAGGGAAGTAGTGGGGGCAAAAGATCGATCTGGTTTCAAGATTAAACTAGATGGGTTTATGAAGGGGATGGTTTGATGAGATAACATGATCTTGGTAACTAATTGACCATTCATTATCAGTGGGAAATAGGTCAATGGAGGGATGATAGGAATTACTATACAGAGAACTTTCTGGGTGTCTGGCTGATAAGTCTTGCCCACATGCTCAGGGTTTAGCTGATCGCCATATTTGGGGTCGGGAAGGAATTTTCCTCCAGGGTAGATTGGCAGAGGCCCTGGAGGTTTTTCGCCTTCCTCTGTAGCATGGGGTACAGATCACAGCTAGAGGATTCTCTGCATCTTGGGGTCTTCAAAGTATTTGAAGGCGTCAATATCTGAGATATAGGTGAGAGGATTATTCTAGGAGGGGTGGGTGAGATTTTGTGGCCTGCAATGTGCAGGGGGTCAGACTAGATGATCATAATGGTCCCTTCTGACCTTAAAGTCTATGAGTCTATGAGTAAATAGAAACACAGCACAGCCACTTGACTATTGGATACGTTTATGTTTATCGGGTAGTCGAGTAGTTGATTACTCGCTTACATCCCTAATTCAAAAAGGGTCTACGACAGTTGTAAGACCAACGTGAATACTCAGAATTAAAACAGTTATTGCTAAAATATATGTATATATAATAAGAATGGTCGATCCCCGGATATTAAAGAGAAAAGCTGGGTGATGTAATCTTTTTTTTGGATTACATTTTAGTGGTGAGACACACAAGGATTTGATTTTCACAGACTTCTTCAAGAAGAGCACGACAGCTAAATATAACCTTGAACAGATAGAATATGTGCTAACTACTTATAACAGTGGTTCTCAACCTGTGGCTTATGGGCTGCTTGCGGCCCAATCAGCACACTACTGTAGCCCACTGATAGAGCCCAGGGGATAACTGAGAAGCCTGGTGCCAGTGGGAAGCAATGCCAGGAAGTGGTGAGTGCAGGGAGGCCCCACCCTGCTGCCAGCAGCAGACTCCTGCCACGTTGCTTGGGGGCAGGAGGAGGAGCTTGGGGGCAGTGGTGGAGCAGGGATGGGAAGAGGTGGGGCAGGAGCAGAGCCTGGGATGGGCCTTGGAGAAAGGGGTGGAATGGGGGCAGGGCACCCACCCCAAAGGACAGCCCTGCCTGTTGACATTCTCTGGATCATACAGCTAGTTATATATATTATGTGGATTGCAGCCCACATAACACAGAGCTGTATGTTCAGCTCACCTTGGTAAATAAGCTGAGAACCACTGAGTTATGCTAAATTAGGGGACCATTCAAGGTGAAATGGTATGTTAACATCCCTGTAGTCATAGGGGAAAAATATGGGCTAGCTGGTTACAGCATGTTGTAATAAACCATAATCCAGTGTCTTTAGTCAGATCTTCATTTTTTAGTGTGGACCAAAGTTATGAGTTTAAGCTCCCAGGCCCATCTTTTGAAAATGTTATGTTGTACATTTACTTTGAAGATGAGGACTGATGATGAGTCAGATACAGAGGGTATGTCTACACTACCCCGCTAGTTCGAACTAGCAGGGTAATGTAGGCATACCGCACTTGCAAATGAAGCCCGGGATTTGAATTTCCCGGGCTTCATTTGCATAAGCGGGGAGCCGCCATTTTTAAATCCCCGCTTGTTTGAACCCCGTGTAGCGCGGCTGATTTGAAGTGGTTTCCATTATATACAGGATGTACAGTATAGTTCTCTCAGCAACCTCACTATAAAAACTGTTCCAGTCCCACTGCACGTAAAGTAAGCACAGATCTCAGAGTAGCTGTATTAGACTGAAACTAAAAAAACAATGGTCCTGTAGCACCTTAGAGCCTAACCAAAAAAAATATACATATTATCATGAGCTTTCATGAGCATAACCCACTTCTTCAGGTGTTCCTTGTAAACTCTATAGATTGTCAGGAAAAAATTAATCTAAGAGGTATCATTCCTTTAAGATCAAATATGTTAAACAACAGATGCCCAGCTCCCTCCACAGAACTGTTTATCCTTTGCAAAGCACAAGCAGGGGCGGTCCATCCATATAGGCGAACTAGGCGGTCACCTAGGTCACAAAGTTCAATGGGGAACCAAATGGTGGCAGAATATCATTGAGGGGTTTGGAGATGGGGGGTGCTGATTGCATGGTTTGCCTAGGGCACCAGCTGCTGGCAGCTAATTTAGGGCCGCCCCTGAGCACAAGGCTCTTTGCCTAAAAGCAATAAACCCAGTCTATAAAAGAAGATTATTGTGCATCAACACCTGAGGCAAGTGTGATTGTATTTACTGCATGTGAAGGGTGCTGGCTACCACAGGTACAGCAGGGCAGCTCCCTCCAAGAGGGCACCACCAGCCAGGTCTGCAGAGATTTCTTCATCCCCACCCTTTAGATTTAGGTGTGAGTGGGCCAGGAGATACCTCCTGTTTGCTGGCACTGACATGGGTGTGAGTGCAGACACAGGTGACTCATGGTAGCACTCCGGAGGTGCACCGCCCCCATGCCCCTACTAAAATTGTAATTAGTAGATGGGATGCTGCCATGGGCGATCGCCCTGCACCGCAAGCACTAGCCGCCCCTGGCTGCAGACAGTACCCCTTCGCCTGGGACCCTGCTCAGTGCTCCGGGCCAAGGCCAGAGGGCCCGGGAAAACGGACGAGCCCCAC